CGTTCCAACTTGTAAATAATTATTTATAACAGTAAATAAATTTTGTGGTCGATAATTTTCTGATGTGAAATATTTTCATAAATTGATTCTATTATATAAAGTTATTTCTTATTATCCATCATAGCTACTCGGAATCCAGATATTTACCGGAAGATTTTTGTCGCAAAGCATTAAGATATAAAATTGTGAAAAAACTTGAACTATCATCCTTTTTACAGATGATTAAAAAAAAACGAACCCTTATAGCACTAACTGTATTTTTCAATCTGTAACTTTTTTTTTATCACCTAATTTTTTTTATGAATAAAGTAAATCTTCGATTAGACTTACTGAACCACTGGATCATCATTCTCCTTTAAGTGTCATAAGAAATACACCTCGAAGTAAGTAAGTAAATGCACCGAAGTTTCAGAGGTTAAATAAAAATTAATGCATCGACAACGTCTTCATATAACGTTTACATTGGTAAAACGATTCAAATCAACGAAAGAAAATACGGATGTTACATATTATGTACCTCCTAAAACATTCCGTCCTGCGTATTATCATCCGTTGAAACCATTTGAACATAAACCAATGGATCCATTTCCACCATTTCCCGTATGTGTTAATTTTGTTTTCTAAGGATCGATCCGATATAAACAAAATGGAGTAATTGATTAATTCCTTTGCTCACCTTTTCTTCTCAATATTTTTCTTTTGTAGAATGAAGGTGATTCGAGTGGCATGGGGCCACGTTTATACGATTATCAGGTTATGAGCGAACTTGTACGTAGTTTACCCAGTGCTTCGGAACGAATTGATTTTGTCAACCCATATGAACGTGAATTTACCCAACGTGAGAAACGTTTCCATCGGTACGTGATTTATTCATTTCTTTGGTTTCTATACTAGAGTGAATAATAAATTTAATCATCTTTCTTTTCTTACTTCTAATATAATTTATTTAAAAAATGAACAGAAGATATGAAAAGCATCAACTTTGTGTTCCAATTTTCTTTTTCCTTTTTTTTTTATGAACAATGTTTTACTTTGGCAGATGTTCGTTGTGATTTAGTTTTGGCATTTAACCTCATTTCAGACCATGGCAAGCGCAACTACTGAAAACGCGGAAAGCATGGAGGATACAGTCATTCCCGAATTATTTTGATCCATTAAATTTTTATCAGTATATCACAAAAACAAGATGTATAGAAGGATTAAGCAAGTGGTATGATGAGCCTGCTCCAGTGCTTACAAAAGATTTCGAGGTAATTTCAAATTTTATCATCACTTTATATTACGGACGTTTCTTACATTATGTGTTCGTATTTTTTCCACTTTTATTTCTCTAATTTTTAGGATCGTTTAAGCGAAATGTTAAAACTGCATTTGGAATCGTCGAATGTTGATAGTGAGCAAGATAGAACTACGAGAATTTTGCGAAGTTTCCTCGACTTGTTGCTTGAAAATGTGATTCAGAGCGGTATGTATGCTTGTTTAGCACATCAAAGGGTTTGTTTTGCTTTTTAAATCGCAGTTAATTTAAGAACGATAAAATGTAGTTCCGTTACTCAGTTTCCAGAATTTCAGTCTTATTTTATTCAATTATGTTAGTCGTGAAATTTGGCGAAACAAACAGTTCGTGGTTGGATATTAGCTGTTCAGAGCTGTGTTTTTTCTTTTTTTTTTTTAAATACAAAATCTTAAATGCAAATATTTTGAAGCGTTTTTTTTGTTGTTTTTTAAATTGAAGTTTTACTCATCAAATAAGCTATTCTTTACGCTGTGAAAGAATTTATTATGTCATCCTTTCAGATATCCCATACGCCACGGTGTGAATCATTCTGGATTCGTTCTGGATTTGATGCTCTTTACGAAAATTTGGTTAGATATAGGCATCGAGGTGATAGCAGGTAGGAAAAAAAAATGAATTCTACTGTTATATATGGATAAATTTCTTCTTTTTTGAATGAAAAGGGAAGGGAAATTTTGAGCAATGCGTTTAAAAATCATAAATTTATGTATTAAAATTTCGTAGTAAAAATGTAACGAATTATATGAAAAATAAAATTTCAAATGTTGAAAATTTGAAGAGCAAAGCTTGGTGAACTTGCTTTCGTCATGAGAGATGCATTTGCAGCACAATTACGGACAAAACATCCATTAAAACCTGTAAGTTTCGAAATCAATCAAAAATTAATATTTATTTAATACAATCGGCTAGAAAGGGTATGCAAAGAAATTTAGTGTAATGAAATGAAATGAACTTAGTTTTATTGAAAATGCGAAATTTGGATATAGCTGTATTTTTGGTATCATTACGACTCCGTCAGTTTGATTAATTAATGATATCGACTACCGATAATTCGCACGGTTGATTAGTTTCGTTTATTATTGCACATTTCAGTTAATGTCACTTTGGGATGAGGAAGTTACGAAGCCATTGTTCGATCCTTCCTTTAATGTTAAAGATGAATTAATATATTCACCCGCCATGTTTGGGATGATGGCTGATGCAGATCCACTGTGGCAGTGTCCAGGATATGAACCGGACTGTGGTTAATTTTTGGGATATTAATCTATTTTTTTGCAATCCCTATAATTTTTTAACCTCCTTATTTTGTTAATTCATTGCAAGATAGCTTTCAACTACGATATTGCTTACAAATTTCATTAATCATGAAATTTTCCAAATGTATTTACTCTCTTGTTGCTTTGAACTTTGAACTCCTGTTGCTCATTTCAACCGAAAATCAGAAAATTTTTTTGAAAAATAGACTGAAGCATTTAAGATTTAACTTTGAATTCCCGAAAATCTCAGCATTCAGATAAATTCTTCAGGTGAAGAATATAAATATGGTCAAATAGGATTTAAACAATTTAATGATTTGGATATGCATTGTAAAAAGTGGAAAGTGAAGGGTGAGGAAGAGAAAATAGTTCGCAATGAATGCCTTCGAGCTTCCGCTGTTGTGTCGCTCTTTTCTTGGTTAAATGCTCAGGCTCATGCGTTGGGTATGTGTTTAGTTTCTATTAAATTTTGGAAATTGTTTGTTTTTCAATTAAATGATTATCCAATTGACGATATTAACTATTCTTTATAAGATATTGCTATAAACTGCGATGTAAGTTTTGCAGAAAATTCTCATTGAAAGGCAAAAATTT